TATCCTGAGAAGGAAGAATAAAGGGGGGATCTTGTAGTAGAACTTCAAGCTCTACTACAAAGCCACAGTAAGCAAGACAATTTGGTACTGGCACAAGAACAGACACACAGACCAGTGGAACAGAATAGAGAGTCCATATATTAACCTAAGCATATGTGGTCAATTAATATACGATAAAGGAGCTATGGATATACAGTGGGGAAATGACACCCTCTTGAACAGTTGGTGTTGGCAAAACTGGACAGCTACATATAAGAGAATGAAACTGGATTACTGTCTTACTCCATACACAAAAGTAAACTCGAAAGGGATCAAAGACCTGAATTTAAGTCATGAAACCATAAAACTCTTAGAAGGAAACATAGGCAAAACTCTCTTGAATATAAACATGAACAGCTTCTTCATGAACATATCTCCATGGGCAAGGGAAACAAAAGCAAATATGAACAAGTGGGACTATATCAAACTAAAAAGCTTCTGTACAGCAAAGGACACCATCAGTAGAACAAAAAGGCATCCTACAGTATGGGAGAATATATTCATAAATGACATATCCAATAAGAGGTTGACATCCAAAATATACAAAGAGCTCATGCACCTCAACAAACAAAAAGCAAATAAGCCAATTAAAAAATGGGCAGAGCATCTGAACAGACCCTTCTCCAAAGGAGAAATTCAGATGGCCAACAGGCACATGAAAAGATGCTCCACATCACTAATCATCAGAGAAATGCAAATTAAAACCACAAAATGAGAGATCACCTCACACCAGTTAGGAGAGCCACCATCCAAAAGACAACAACAAATGTTGGTGAGGATGTGAAGAAAGAGGTACCCTCCTACACTGCTGGTGGGAATGTAAATTAGTTCAACCATTGTGGAAAGCAGTACGGAGGTTCCTCAAAAAACTAAAAATAGAAATACCATTTGACGCAGGAATTCCACTCCTAGGAATTTACCTTAAGAATGCAGCTCAGTTTCAAAAAGACATATGCACCCCTATGTTTATTGCTGCACTATTTACAACAGCCAAGAAATGGAAGCAACCTAAGTGTCCATCAGTAGATGAATGGATAAAGAAGATGTGGTACATATACACAATGGAATATTATTCAGCCATAAGAAAACAAATCCTCCCATTTGCAACAACATGGATGGAGCTTGAGGGTATTATGCTCAGTGAAATAAGCCAGGTGGAGAAAGAGAAGTACCAAATGATTTCACTCATCTGTGGAGTATAAGAACAAAGAAGTAACTGAAGGAACAAAACAGCAGCTGACTCACAGAACCCAAGAATGGACTAACAATTACCAAAGGGAAAGGGACTTGGGAGGATGGGTGGGAAGGGAGGGATAAGGGGAAAAGGGCATTATGATTAGCACACATAATGTGTGTGTGGGGTGCACTGGGAAGGCATTATAACACAGAGAAGACAAGTAGTGACTCTACAGCATCTTACTATGCTGATGGACAGTGACTGTAATGGGGTATGTGGTGGGGACTTGATAATGGGGGGAATCTAGTAACCACAATGTTGCTCATGTAAGTGTACATTAATGATGCCAAAAAAAAAAATTGAAAGTGTGCCTCCACTACTATGCTCCTCAAGACAGTGCTGCTCACAGCCTACAGATGGTTCTCCAAGGATGGTATTCAGAATGGCAAAGGGAAAGGAAAAACATACCTGTGGGCAAATAGTAAGTATTTTTTTGAAAAGTAATCTCTAAATATTTAGAAAAGAACATTGATTATGTTGTTCCTGTTTAGTCAGCCAGCCAGCCAGCCATGCTTTTCTAGATCACAGAAATCTACTGCCCGTGCCGTTGTGTTTGGAAAATCAGTGATGAGCCAATGATGCCAAGCAATTTGATTTCCTTAAAACACAGTGTTTCACTAAAAGGGCCTCTCCTGGCCTAGAGCAAGTAAACCATCAATGGGTGACAGCAGCAGTACTGGTTAATACTTCCTCTTGTCTAGCTCTTGAAAAGGAACTCACACCAAAGTTTTTAGTAGGTAGCAGAGAAATACTTGTTTTCAATTCACTGTATTTAACTGGAAGTCTGCAAACAGTTCCAAGAAGACACTGAAGAGCTAGATGTACAGAAGACAGCCAATAACCTTGAGGAGATAATAATTTAGTGGAGCAAAAATTTACGTACTCAGATCACTTAAATATAAGGTAGGGTGGGTAGTAGTCATCAGGATGGTACACATAAAGGTAGGAATGCAGGTACACATAAAGGATTATTTCCAGCTGGATCATCATGGGTTTACAGGAAGGACAGGTCGGGCATGTGCAAAAGGGATTGAGACTTTCTAGGGACTCAATGACAAGAGCAAAAGCACTCGAGTGAGGAACTGGGAATTGTTCAGAATAACGGCAACAGAGGATCAGAGAGGAAGGAAACCAAACTTGGCGGCTGACTAGGATAACACATAGAGTTTTAAATACTAGGATGAGAGACCCAGACTTTATTACGGTTGGTAAAATAGACTGGAGGCTGGCAGACCAGGGGCTAGATGACCATAAAGCCCCACCCCACCCACTGTGATATTAAAGGGAAGAGAGCACGCTGTCATAATAGAGTGGTGCCTGATGAGGTCTATGCTTTCCACATGTAACTTGGCCCTTTGAGGAAAAACTCACTCTGCTGTAAAAGGGATATATTTATTATGATGACGCAGAAACCATCATGTACAAAGTACAATCCTCTAACACCCTGAAATACATACATGCACACATTATACATAAATTTATATTATCAATATAAAAATACATCATTAACATTTCTAAGGACGACAAATATAAAACCAATAAATATAGCAATTCTAAAACATCTACTTACAGTAAGTGCTGGTGAGTAAGATGACAGTAAAAGAAAGGGGCCAGAGCAGACCAAAAAACCAACTACGCAGCTTCAGTTTACAGACTTGAGTTGGTTTGGGGGAGGTATCCCAATATTCTCCACACATTTCTCAATTTCCCCAATCACTTAGAAGTGTCTGATGTCATCAACTCTCAAATACAGAGCAAAGGAAGAATCTGACATTACGGCACTGTTTTTGGCACCCCCCACCATCCCTCTCTCTCACTCTTCAACCACATTTAGAGATAAAGGAATGACAATAATAAGCTTAACTTAAAATCAAAGCCTCTACTGCCTAACTTTTTGACAGCATCCAAGGAGAATGTTTTCCTTCTCATATTTATCCCTTTTGTCTTGTGTTCAATTTTTCCCGCCTTTACAATATGTAAAATTGCATGGATGGTCAAATGGTACAAATCAGAGAAAAATCCAACATTAATTCTAGCATGGGAAACAAGGTACATGTGTCAGAGAGCAGATAATGGCCCAGCTACAAAATGGAATAGTGCTGCACTCCAGCAGACACTCAGGACCAAACACTTGACCACAACTTTCCTTGTGTCCAAACACCGACAGACTACTGCCACACGGATGCTTCTTTCCATAAAGTTTAGGGAAACCCCATGTTTTTCTCAGAACCTTAGAGGCTGGGGGCTGGGTTATAAGACAAAATATGAAGAACAATGTGTAATCAATTTTAGCTAGATTTTGAGGTTTTTAACACAGAGACTGATAACTGGCAAAGAGTTTCATAAGAGATGTATTTAAGTCAGGAAAATTTTTTTCCCTTTTGTATGTGTGTGTGTGTGTTTCTATTATATGGGTGAAGTATTTGACATGTGCTGTGAGCAGGGACAAGGGGGGCAAAACACAGCCACCATTCTACAGCACAAAGGTCAACTAGAGTTTCTAGTTTTTAATCAATGGGAAATCCTGCAGACAATTCCCTTCTCCTTTCTTTCAGGCCATACTGACTTCCCTGCTTGAATCTGTAACAGATTAACTAGAATTCAAAAATCCTTTCTGTCACCTTTAACTTGGTCTTGAGGTCTAGAACCCAACCTGGCACGGGCCTTTCACTATACATGCTGATCCCAGGAGGGACTTGATACATGAGGACCCCCTTCTCTGCAGTCAGAACTGATGGGGGGTGGAGGATGGGGAATGAAAGGCACCGGAGGATGGCACTATCTTGAGAGGTATAGAATTTTTAAAGCAGATGTGCATTTCAAGAAGATTCTGATTTCTCCAGAGGGAGATTCTTGGAACCTAGTATACACTAGAGAGTTCACAGCTCAGTTGATCTGTTTCAGAATCCAACTAGTCTCTGGTCTCCTCCCATCATAAATACTTCCTAAGAGATCAAGTACAACTCAAAAGAACCCATCCAATCAACATGTCACAACTGACTTTGCCATCACTGAATCAAATCAACTGCAAGATCCTGGGGCTCCGGTGTCACTTCCAAAAAGAGACAGCAGGACTTTGACCTTTAAGAATGATATGCCCTCTGGTGTTACCAATATCTCAGGCTGAGGTGGTCAAAGTCTGGAAGCTGACTGAGTAACTGCACTGATCCTTGGGTAGAGCAGATTCTTCTCTTGCTGCCAAACATCCTTAGAGGTGCAGAGTGCCAAGAGCAAGAGAGACATCAGTCCTGGAGGTGCACCCTCCGGCCTCTCGCCAGGAAGCACTGAGGTGCGCGTTGGGAAGCATGGTTCCAGTCCCCAGGATATCCTGCCTGCAAGCAGCTGCTACTTCTTGGGCTTCTCCAGAATGTTGAGGAATTTCCCCCGGGTCATCTCTCTGGCTGGAATAACAAAGCATATGTAAGATCAATGAAAACCTAAAATCTGAAAGAGATCTCAGGAAAAATTAGTTAAAAAGAAACTAATTTAACTTGTACACAAATCAGCTGCAAGATCCATAACAGATTCAGTCACCACTAACTTCCAAAAAGGGGGAAAACTACTATTGATTTAACTGAAACTGTACAAAGCTGTTCACAGGCAATTGCTATAAGGCTCAGGCCAACCAAGGAAGATTTTGTCATTCACCCTTAAAAAACTCGCCAGGAAATTCCCCTCAAACCTCTCTCTCTCTGGAATGTGCCTACTACTCATGTTCACTACCTCAGGGGGTGTGAATCTTTCGCTCATAGAGGCTAAAATCCGACCAAGATTAGAGTCTTCTCTGGGTTGTTGGCCTCTGGATATTTATAATCTCAAATCAAAATTAGAGATCATTTCCAGCATCTCTCAGCAGTGGTAGCCCCCTGGATGCTGTAATATAACAGGGTTTATGCTCCCTCAGTGCAGTTCATCTGTGGATGGTGTAATAAAGTAGGGTTTATAGAACCTTGGTCTTCTCTCTCTTGGCATTGTCAGTCCTTAGATATTTAATACAGCCAGGCAAGGTTTATGTGTCTTTCTCCGACTTTCAGCACCATCAATCTTTGAATGCTGCACTTACAAGAGGGTTTATACAGCTACTTTCCTAAATATGAGGCTCCGAAATGAAAGTAAAACATTTCTCAATTACAAGGGCCACTCCAGAAGCCTCCTGTTTTAGCTGTCAAGCAAATCCTCAAAAAGTGTACATAATATAACATCCCGTTTAGTGTCATCCCTACAAGATCATCTTTGAAGATTCTTAAATAGATTTAACAGTGCTAAAGGTTTCCAATAGCTGGCCCTGGAGGCCAACAGTCTTCTGGAACCATGGCCTCCCAAGAACACAGCCCCATTCTGGCCAGAGTGAGGTGGCTAGGGAGGGACTTGGAGGGATACAAAGGGCCTTTGCTCTGGGCTCCCACCCCACCCTCAACATGTTTAACAGTACCTGGCTTATCTGTGCAACAAAGAAATAAAACTAAAAACTTGTAACCATAGGAAGGCTTTTGGTAACTGCAGTCTATACTTTCCCCATCTTTCACAAATTCTGGAGCTTTAACAAAGGGAAAAGAAATCCCATTAACTAGGAATGGAAGCCTTAGTGCTCGGTGTTGCCTCATGTGCCCACAACCCTACCCCGGCCCTTATTAAAGTGACCATTCCTTCCTTGATGAATTTACACCAAACCCTATATACACAAAGTTCCTTTAAGATTTGCAATCACTTGTTTACTTGTCTTCCTATGTTGAAGTGTTAGAACTGAGGGCAGAGATTGTGTTTCATTATTCTTTATAGCATCAGCAGCTATCATAGTGCTAGACCGAGTAACTGTTGAATAAATAAATGTTGGCTGGATGAATGACAATATACAAAAGAACTAGAACCAATCAGGAATACAACTGTGTTAGTTTCCTCCCTTCCACAAATAAACGATAAGACTTGTTAGGGACCATCAATGCTCCATTCTTTAGATTCTAAATTTACCTTATTTGGCAAGAAAAATCATTTTCGAATAGAAGTATGCCAGATTAATGGAGAGAGTAGATGGGGTTGGGGCACAAGAACTAACAAGAGGAAATCCAAACAAGTATTTTATTGCCCATGGGAGGCAGCATGAACTTTTTCAGAGCCCAGGATTTGAACTCAATTCTAGCTCTACTGTTCAGCAGCTACATGACACGTTAGGCTGGATAAGGGCTCTGAGCTTCAGTTTATTCATCTGTAAAATGCCATCTGCCCTGCTTGTCTTGGATATTCAGTAATGATCATGCCTGGTGGAAGGAGTACCATTAACAGAACACCTTTCAGCTGCTTCTATTGCACTCAGTATTTAATGGTGAATGAATGAATGACCTATATTAAGAAGGGAGGCTAACCATCTCAAAAATCCCTTTCTGTGGAATCTCTTCCCTCAGCCAGATCCTTTAGGGGTTGACTTAAATTTTTGGCTAGAGTGGGTCTCATTTATTTCTACTGGATGGGTTGTCTGCCTACTCTCCCATACTTATTAAGGACTTTAAACACAGTATCAAATAATCGTGCAACATGGCTCAAAGCAGGTGCCCTGGAAACCAGACATGGGTAATACAGAACTCTACTGGGCAGAAGAGAGTCCAAAAATCCTAGGCCAAGAGCACTGTACTGATCTTACTAATTATTCTTGCCTGCTGCCCTTCAGAATCCCTAATTCTTTACTGTTTCTTTTTTCACAGAATGGGAGAATGACCAATATTTAAGACTTAAAAATTTAAAAAGGTCCAATCTATTCCTGGGATCAAAAGGATTTAAAAGGCAAAATAAATGGATATTCCAAAGTCTTTCAGTTGCAAGCTCTCCTTGAATTCAACCAATCCTTTTTAACAACTCTTTTCCCACTCAATCATTCCTCCCCCTTCAACCTAATCCAAGTACACAGAGCTGCAGGAAACCACTGTAAAAGTAGAAGTAATTCAAAGACATCATCTTCTACATGGGAGGGGAGAAAGTTTTCCTGCTTGCCAGTCCCATATAGGAGATATACGAATTCATGACACAGGTGCTCCCTAAAAGAGGGCTGTGCCCTATAAATCACATTCTAAGCACAAACCCCTTTTTTGTGCACAGAGAAATTGCTGTGGGTCAGGGGCAGCTCCAGAGCACGTGCTCTCCTGTTCACTTGTTATCAGAGATGTTAACATCTCTGATTAATTCACATAACCCTTATTTTATTTCTCACTTCTTTATCCTTGCTCTCTTGCTCTGCTGCAGTGTTGATGATTCTTACCGACCTGCTACAGTAATCACCACCCGCTAACTGCACCCCCCTAAACCTAGTGAAATTGTTTAGTGATGCCAACCGCGCTTTTAATTTGCAAGACATCAGACACAGCGGTAATTTATACCAACATCTGTTCATTTTTGACTTCTGAAACAAACTCGCACATGCTGCTACAAAATCCCATTAGGAGTAGGGAGACAGCCTTCTGCTACTGTTCTGTATTCCTCTTCTACACACACACACACACACACACACACACACACACACACACACACACACACACACACACTTTCTGTTCTGTATTCCTCTTCTACACACACACACACACATACACGCTTTCCAGTAGGGTTTTTACATGTAAATGCATTTACTAAATATCTCCCACCAAGGATTTCAAGTCTCTTTAGGGAGAAACCTTTAGAGATGTCTATAGCTTGCTTACAGAGGAAAGGAAGGTATTTCTATTTCCCCCTGCCTAGTTTCATCCCTTGTCCCTTCCCATATCGCAGCTGGGTATATTCTTGCAGTAATGACCAGGGTGAGATGACATGCTCCTCACACTGGCGCTTCCAGTTCCTCCCTTCTCTTCTGGTTCTTGTTTTCCAGAGTGTGTTGGGTGACAGTCCTAGAGACAATAAGACTGCTAGAGAGAAGAGTCAAAATTTCTTAACTATTTTCTAATTCTGGATTAATTTTCTAGGATTACAAATTTCAACAGGAAGGCAACACTGTTACTGCATTCTAATAAGTACGCCAAGAGGGAGCCACTGGTCTTCAGCCAGGAGTTTATGCTGTGCAGAAGAGAAGTATAGCCTCCATTTCAAGTCATGATTTATAGGTCCTCCTATGCAGTGCACAGACCATAAACTGAGGAGCCACAACAGAGACGGTCACCATAGAGTGAACATGTGCACTGCTGCAGAGTGGGGAGAGGGGACCGTGTGTCCACAATTAAAGACAGCAAATGGATACAAACTACAACCAACCTCCAGGTTGATATGCTGTTTCTATTACCCACTTTGTAGTTTCCCTTGGGCTGTCAGGGTCATGGCAGCTGTAAATACCTGGGAATACTTAGGTCAGGGCTGAAGCGAGGACTCCATCCTGCTTGCTCTGAAGGTGGTGTGTGGTTTAATACAATCTCTTTAGACTCTCCAATTCTTCCATCCTACATTGAGCCTTGCTTCTGGCTCTCTTTCCACAATGACTATTCCCAAACTGCCTTCTCCGCAGTAAATTTTCTGGTGGCTGGTTGAAAAAGATACAGTGGTACAGATTGATTTCTCACCAGTGAGGGGATGAGGGATTACCAGAGGCATCCTGGTTAACGAGATTGGGTGCAGAATCTCTCATGAGACCAGCCCTCTATGCCAGGACATTGTACCTTTTACTCATGACATATGGGTTTCATTACTGAAAGTTTCCAGATTATAACTTCGAGGCAATTGCCTGGTAAAATTCTGCTCTCCTTTAATGTGGAGAACAATGTAAAGGTTAAGTAACTTTTTAATGAAACAGAAGAAACTCATGTTTAGTTTTCAATTCCAATGCAAACTACTTTAAATATTTCTGTGCTTCAACATATTTAAAGACATTAGCAAGGTGGAGAAGAGTTACTTTCCACTAGTTCTCTCACATCTCATAGAGCAACAGTAGACTGTTGTTAGGAGATTCTAACATGAGTGGTAGGAAATAAGAAAGACAGCATAATATCATGAACAGAGCAGGGCTCTTTTAAGGCTTGGATTGGAACCCTTGCTCCTACACTAACCCTGGACCACTGTTGGCGCGTCAGCCAAGTCATCTGAGTCTCAGTTTCCGCATCTGTTCAAGGTGAGGTTAATCAAAAGGTCACAAAGGCATTCAGTCAATGCTAGCCACTGTATAACCAACTCTTTCTTCCATTTCAAACAAGAAGTTTAAGCAATGAGACATTTGATGAGAAAACTACCTAGGATTGATTCCTTTCAGAGTAATTTATCCCTACTTAAAGACAGATTGCTGTACATCTGACAGCTATGTATAAAAAAGTTCCAAAATTGTCCTTGGTTTTACGGTGATAAATGAAAAACTTTAAAATTCTTCAACTGAATAAAGTAGGCAAGGATTTTCTGCTAAATACTGAGAGCAAAATAACTTAAACTAACATGAAAGATAAGCTTGCCACTAATGGAGACGGGCTCACAGACCTGGAATTTTGTGTCATCTAAACATAGCATTGGTATTGATCTAAACATAGCATTGGTCATTTATTTAAAAAAAAAAAAGGCAATACGCTTACATAGATACCCATTGCTTTATGTGTAATCACAGAATGGGGAAGGGGAACATGCAAGAACAGAGAATCCCATACTGCAGTAGTTGGGGATGTGGTGGAACCAATCTGCAGTTTCCTAACTGGAAATGTATTCTTGGTCTGTGGGAACCAAGTTCCGTAGTAAAAAGCAGGTCCCCTTGTAGTGAACAATGTCTGCTGCCAGCATGCATGAACTGTATCTTTAAACTCCATTTCCAACAGTGCAGGTGTGTCTGTGTCATGAATCGGCTGCTGCTCCAACTGGAATCTCATCTGCCTTGTTGTTTACAAAAGGCCTTCATTAATTTACTAGGTGGTACATACCTCCTGATCTTAAACTGCACCACAGTTTAAGATGATCTAGTCCACAGATGAACTAGCTTGCCTGCCCTGTCACCTTCAAATCAACGTGACTGTTTTTTGAACACTGGAGTCTCCTCAGCTGCCACTTCACCAAAAAGGTACCAGGTCTGCACTGAATGAGCACACAAGCAGCACCAGGAATGGGAAAAAGGAGGCTGAGCTATTTATTTTTTGAAAGACCTCAAATGCAAAACAAACAGAAACATATATGATGTGCTATCTGTGTAACACGTATACTCTGAAGGATGAAGCCTGCTGAGTGATGCTGGGTATTAGAGGCAACTTTCTTCCTTAATCATACCAGCAGCTGCTTCTAGCAAAAAGGAACACATAAAATCCTAGTTAGTTTAGTTTAAATCAACGTGCTAAAAGGTTATTATTTAATTAGCTTCCTAAAAGATGTTTTGTAGAAATGATGCTAATTGTTATAATTATGGTTTTGATGAATACATTCCAATAACTCTGACAAAGAGGGATCTCCTTGTCATCAGTGTGCACTATACAGAAGGGAAGCATGAAGGGCATGGATGAATAGTTAAGTTAGTCACATGGAGTGCCTACCATGTACCAGATATTAGAGAAGATTCAACTGAATTAAAAGTGGCCTTTGAGATGGAGCTGGCTGTTCACAGGCATTTGGTGTATTAGTAGAGAACAAAAAGGAACCAATGTGATTTATAATGCTGACTTCTCTTTCACAGGAATGTGGCAAGTTTTCCTGTCACTCAGGCACAGAGCCAGAAAGAGCAGAGCAGTTCCAGGACAGTCTGTCAGACTGAGATTCTGTACCATGCTCCAGTTCAGACCTCTGCACAAAACGTACCAGTAAGTGATCGATAATTCAAGTCAAGGCCTAAGCACTTTTTAATGCCTCCAGTGTGAGAGCAGCTGGCGCTGGTGCCACTGTCAAGAGCAGAGGTGCTATGAACTGAGCACGGTGTCACTCGGTGAGGAGGGGTCTCTTGGAGCCTCATTTGACATTTGGTGTCCTTCAGAAGGTGGTGTAATTGTAGTAAGGTCTGCTGACCATTCTCAATCCACTCTTGTGGGAGAGTTCACACAAGTAAGAGTCTTTGGTAGAAATCTCATTTTTCTCTAAAACACGTGAAAGTAGCATTTGAAGGCAAGCAGAACAGCCTTGAGGCTTTTGCCTCAAGTTCTCTGAGCATAATTCAAAAAGGAGACTGAAGTATATGCCTGAGAAAAGAATGGTTTGGATGTGATATCTGTGACAAAACTATCACTATCAAAATCTTTATCCTCAGAATTCTCAAAAAAGCCTTTTTGAAGCATACTTTCCAGATTCTTTCTAAATTGGGTTTCTTGTCTTTCTACAGGACTTTTTCTTCCAAAAGGGTGGAGTAGCTAAGAACAGCGTTCCCTCCAGTAAATTCAGAGAAAGATAATTTTATATCAAACATTCTTCAATTCATACTAAGACCCATTTCCGAGAATGCTGTATCCAAGAAGTAATATGAAAAAGAGAAGTCAGGGCTCTACAGGTAAACATATTTGGACAGTTTCAATATGGAAAATAATTTTAACGGCTTTTCATAGCAAGAAAAAAAAAGACAGAAATATCCAGCTGACAGATTTATTCTGAGAATATAAGACATCAAGAAGAACATAAAATATGGGAGGTGTCTACCATGATGCCTGAAGATTGAGAGCAGAAATATAAGAACCCTGATTGTCAGGCATCTGACAAATGTTGTATTCGGGTGAAAGCCTGTGTTTCTCCATCAGCTCTCCTTGTCCTCCTGCCCTCTAGTAAAAGCAACACAAGCCTAGATTTCAAATATTCAATCCTTCTTATCAATCCTCTCCCTACTACAAAACAAACCGAAACAACAACAACAAAAAAACTCTAAAGGACTGTGTTCAAGAAATGAGAACAACTTACTGTATATTTTGTTTCCTTTTCAGAGGGCTTCACAGGCCTACTGAAGTTTCACTTGGTCCCCTTTTTAATGTTAAGCTTGACTGAATGAGAAGCAATGAGGTCAAAGCAATGGATTAATACTCTTGGGATGAGAACTTTTATTAAATACTCATAAATTTGTGCAGAACATTCATGCTTCAGGGCCTTTAAACAGTAATACATCCTAGTGAAACCCTTATTATGATTAAAGACTAGTAGCTTCCCAGTGTTAATTTCTTCATCCACAGTGTGACAGCAATAGCCTATCATGTAAGGTTAAGACAGCACAACTAGTCAAAGTGACTGGATCAGTACAAAATATTTTGTGATTTATCCATAGGCTATATTCCACTCTCAGGAAAATCAGATCAGGATTACAGTATAGATACATTTCAAATCACTTGAATATTAAGACAACTTTCCTGCTTGGAAAATCCCCACTTTCAAGGTACTGGCAGTAACTAAAGTCTACCAAGAATGAAGGCCCAGTCTTCTTGACCCCCAGGGCAGGGAAAGAGTTACATCTTCACACTGAGAAGCCAATAAAAACCTCTCTTGATTATAATTTAGATAAGAACCACTGGATTGAATAATAATGTCTGAAACTCCCCTAGCTGTTTCACCTTGAGATGTCCATCACTGGGTTAAACATGATGCTAATTGCATTTGGATTGATTAATTTCTCTCACTCCTGTCTATTCGAATAACGCTTAACAAAATAATCATAGCACCCAGAGCCAAATCTTTTCCATCAAAGGAATGAAGCCATCAGAACAGGCAGAGATGAAAGAAATGAAGATGACCCGTAATTACTGCGATGGTGATATCATTACCATATTACACAAAATGAGTGTGCGGGGAGGGGGAGTGGGAGGAGGAGGGGCTGAGATTATTTATTTTTTTAATGGAACTCTATAATCTAAGAATACAGATTTTACATCATGTGGAACACAGAAATACAGAGCTTTGAAAAAATACAAATCTTGCTCATGAAATTGCAAAATCCAGCAAACACTGAGGCCCAAGATACATCAAGTGTCTGGGGCTGTGAGCAGGTATTATTCACGCCACTATTTTTTCACAGCAGTAACACTTTGTGTATGACTTGCATAGAGATTTAAGATGCTGTCTTCATACCTCAAGCATTCTCATAGCTACTGGATAATTTTTTTTAAGCCAGGGAATAATATCATTGATTTTAATATTGTTAGAGTTTGCCTTGGTTGTAAAACTAGAATCTGGGTTTTAACATTAGTTCTAGGGTAAGACACCAAAGAAAATGTCTATGAATCTTCACTCATTGGACAACCGTATGGACTTTATTTTAGCTCACTACCAAGGAAAATATAATAATGTTTCCCTACTTTCTTATTGTTTAATATGACCTTTTTAATACTTATGATAGAAAACCTACGATTGCATAGGATTTGAATCTTAGGTCTGAATCTATTACTTATTAGATGGTGATCTTGGTAAATGAAGTAGCTATGTCTCAGTTCCTTCTTGTAAAATGGGGATCAGTACTTACCTGACTGAGTTGTTGTAAAACTTAATATATTTAGTGCTCAATAAGTATTAGTAAAAGAAAAAAAAAATCCTTGTAAGATTAACTTTATGTCTATTTACAGAATCTTGAACAATGTTTCCACTACTTCAATTTTGAACCTC